AGTGGTGGCACACGCCTTTAATCCCAGCACTCGGGAGGCAGAGGCAGGCAGATCTCTGTGAGTTTGAGGCCAGCCTGGTCTACAAGAGCTAGTTCCAGGACAGGCTCCAAAGCTACAGAGAAACCCTGTCTCGAAAAAAAAAAAAAATGCAAAACTCATAGTCAATTCCTTGGGCAGCCACGTACATTTGTGACCATAGCCCCAGATGCCCTCACTCAGTCTAAATACCCATCATTCCTCCTCAGAAGAATGTGCCAATCTCTCTGTGCTGAGGAAATGTTTAAACAACACTCATCTTCTGTGGTCCTTGTTCCTCAATGCTCAGCATCCTACAGAGCCCTGATTCTGCCCAGGAGCCACCCGAGGAGCCTTCCCAGGGCTGCATCTCTTGCGGAGTTCATACAAAACTTCAGATTGCCTAAGACTTGGGTACAATGATAACCCACACAACATAGGAGACTGCCCTGGGGGACACCTGGGCTACTGGTACAGTACTGGTACACGCCAGTATAAGCATGCTAGAAAACTAATTCCTGCTGGATGGTGGTAGCTCACGCCTTTAATCCCAGCACTTGGGAGGCAGAGGCAGGCGGATCTCTTTGAGTTTGAGGACAGCCTGGTTTACAGAACAAGTTCCAGGACAGCCATGGCTACACCGCTAGCTCCTTTTTAAAATAATTTTTTAAATTATGTGTTTGTATGTGGGCATGTGCACATGCATGGAGTTGTGTGCAGAGGTCAGAGGTGCCAGATCCCCCCAGAGCTAGAATTACAGGCAACTGTGAGCCACCAGATGTGGCTTGAACTCTGGTCAATGCCAGAGTAGTGGGTGCGCTCAGCTACTGAGCCATGGTTTCAGCCCCATAATAATGTATGTTTTAAGTTATTGGTTTTGTTTTTAAAATTATTACTGTGTGTGCATGATGTGTGAATATGAGCTTGAATGTGGTCAGAGGACAACCTTACGGAGTTGGCTTTCTCTTTGCTCCTTAACGCAGAATCAAGGGCTCAAACTCAAGTCGGCAGGCTTGCACAGCAAGTGCATTTACCTGCTACGCCATCTTGCCAGCCCCTAGGACATACCTTGATTGATAGGGTGGCTTAGTTCACCATTTGGTCACATTAAAATCTTTAACTAAAACCCTCAAAAACACTGGAGATGAACTAGCTGGCTTCCCACTGTCGCTAAATCCCATGGTCAGTACTGAAACAAAAAACAAGAGCATTCGATTTCTTATTAGCAGAACAAAGGGGGGGGTGTGTGCTCCTGAATGCCACCTGCTACACTTCAGTCAAAGCTCAGGACAAGTAGAAGTTCCTATTAAAGAAGCAGAATAGCCATTACGAGGTGATAAAGGCACCTACGGAAGGCTTGCACCAAATGCTGCTTCATTTGTACCTGGCTTCTGGCACTGACCATTGTTGAAATAGGAGCGGCAGGGCTGCGTCCCCAGCACCCCGGCCGCTTGCTAGCTTATGCCCGAAATAACAACACACAAACTGTATTTATTTAAAGACTGCTTGGCCCATTTCTATCTAGCCTCTTCTAGGCTAATTCTCACATGTTAATTTAGCCCATTTCTCATAATGTGTGTAAGTACCCCAAGGTGCGCTTACAAGAAAGATTCTAGCCTACGTCCATCCTGGGTCAGAGCTGCCTGGGAGAGCAGAGCCTGGCGTCTCTGCTCCAGAGAGCAGAGCTGTTGGGTCTCTCCGGAAGCAGAGCAGAGTCTGACCTCACTTCCTCTTCCTCCCAGAATTCTATTGTTTACTCCTCCCACCTATGCTTTAACCTATCAGGGCCAGCCAAGCAGTTTCTTTATTGCTCAATGACCTTCCTCCATCAGACCATGGTTCAACTTTAGCCGTATGGTTAACATGTTGTAGAGGAGGGCTTCTCTACACTGTCATCTTCAAATCAAACTGATGTTAATACATGGTCCACCCACTGCAGACAAAGCCTATGCCATGGATCTCATGACCAAGCCATCAGGTGGGGACAGCAATTGCAAAGCAGCCCTGAAGCTGGCCCAGAAGTCAGACCTTCACATGCCACTGCTTTCTTAAAAACAAGAAGAGGGTTGGAGAGATGGCTCAGTGGTTAAGAGCACTGCCTGTTCTTCCAAAGGCCCTGAGTTCAATTCCCAGCAACCACATGGTGACTCAAAACCATCTGTAATGAGATCTGGTATCCTCTTCTGGCATGTGGGCATACATGCAGACAGAATACTGTACACATAAAGAAAAAAAAGAACAAGAAGGAATGGCTGGGGGAAGACGGCTCAGATATGCAACCATTAAGACCTGAGTTCAGATCCCCCAGCACCCGCATAAAAGCTGGGCTCACCGGTACACACCCAAAACCCCACTACTGGCTGGTGGTGGTAGTGTGTGTGTGTGTGTGTGTGTGTGTGTGTGTGTGTGTGTGTGTGTGTGGCAGTAGGGGGGCATGAGTTAGATCCCCGGAATTTGCTGGCTGCCAGTCAGTAAACCTGTGAGCTCTCAGGTTCAGTGAGAGACTCTGTCTCAAAATAGAAAGTGGTGAGCAAGAGAGGAAGACAACATCAACCTCTGCCCTCCTTGTGCATGTGCACACATGCACACACACACTCACAGGCACAAACACAGGCACATACACATACACACGACTGGGATAAAATGACAGGGACACAATCATGAGATTCACTTGTTTTTCTCCCTCGCTATCAATAAACGACATGTGCCTGTCCCTTATTCCTTATTTTATCAAAAGGGAACACCTCTCCAGATACAGGACGCTGCCGTATGTCTCAGGGATAACCTGGACACTGATCAGTATCCTACACAGGAAAGTCCTCTTACAACTAAGGTACCTCCATATCCCTGTGAGTGGAGCCCCAGGTCCCCAACTCAGTGCTATCCCCTTTCCAATTAAAACCTCTACATAAGCCAAGTGTGGTGGCGCACGCCTTTAATCCCAGCACTCGGGAGGCAGAGCATGCAGCTCTCTATGAGTTCGAGGCCAGCCTGGCCTACAGAGAGAGTTCCAGGGCAGCCAAGGCTATACCAAGAAACCCTGTCTCAAAACAAACAAACAAAAAACCCCTTCGTGGCCACCCTGCTCCCATGATCACCAACAATGATGATTGGTCCTTGGGCTCAGAGGAGTTGGACAACAGCAATGGGGACAGAAGTGACTCAACTCTGCTCTTACCCCTTTGCCTTGCCCTCATCTGGGAGGGCAGACCTGGCCGTGGCCACTGTCGCCCAGCAGGGGACCAGCACCTGGTCATCTCTGAGGAATGATCCTCCTGGCAAGTGGAAGTCTGACTTCCTCAGTCCTGAGCACTGTTTGACAGCATGCAGCAAAGGAACAATGCATGTTCAGAGACCAGCAGTCAAGAAGAAATAACGGGACCCTGCAGTAAAGTGCCAACTGCTCTTGCAGAAGACCCAGGTTTGGTTCCCAGCACCCTCATCAGGCAGCTCATAGCTGTCTATAACTCAACGAAGTCAATGGCCTCTGGCCTCCGAGGGCACCTGAACATGCATGGTACACATAAACTTATGCAGGCATACACACATAAATAAAATATATTAATCTTTTTTTTTTAAAAAAAGTCATCAAGATGACTCAGCAGAGAAAGGCATTTGCCACCAAGCCTGATGACCTGTGGGTCATCTCTCAGACCCACACTGAAGAAGCAAATGGACTCCTGCAAATTGTCTTCTGACTTCCATGTGTATGACATAAATGTTCCCATATGTCCACACATGTGAATGCATGCACACACACATACAAATAATAAATAAGTGTAAAAAAAACTGGGGCTGGAGAGATGGCTCAGAGGTTAAAAGCATTGCCTGCTCTTCCAAAGGTCCTGAGTTCAATTCCCAGCAACCACATGGTGGCTCACAACCATCTGTAATGGGCTCTGGTGCCTTCTTCTGGCCTGCAGGCATACATGCAGACAGAATATTGTATACATAGTAAATAAATATTTAAAAAAATAATAAAATAACAAAATAATAAAAAAAACAATAAGCTGGGTGTTGGGGTACACCTATAATCTAAGCAGTTGGGAAGCAAAGACAGGAGGATTGCTGAAAGTTCCAAAGTTCAAGGCCTGCCAGGGCTCCACAGTGAGATCCTGTCTAAGATAAATAAAGTGAAGGGGAGGAAACGTGAGTTTTCACAAACTGGCACAGTTTCACAAACTGGCACAGTTCAACCCCTTCTGCATGGACAGGGGTCACTCCAACTCATATAACTGCAAGGATGCACGCAGGCACCCGCTCACCCTGCTGGCTGAATGTCCCAGTGTGGCTTCTCTAACTTCCACCCACTTGAGCCTCTTTTCCCGGACCTGTTTTCCTTGTCTCCTCCCCTGGGGGTCAAAGCCCAAGAGGGCCAGTGAGGACACACTGTAGAGTCACAGAAGCCTGGACCTGCTGGTGTCTACTCTGGCTACTTGCATTTTTTTTCCCAGTCTCATGTGGTATACGTTTCACCACCTCGAGGGCCAGGACTTCTGCTCAGAGCATGTTGGAGGGGACAGTGACAGGAGGGCCAGCTCCTTAGCAGACTTCCAGACACCATAGAGCACAGCTGGAGGTGGTGGCACTTGATATGGCACAGGACAAACAGTCACTGAGAGAGGATGCGACTATGGGAGACAGAGCTGGAGCTGGGGAAGGGTAGCTCAGCAGCTTCCTTCATCTCTGTGCACAAAGTCAGAGCACGGCACACAATCAACACATCATTGGCCCCTCAGCCAGGCTCAGCCAGGCTCACCCAGGCAGCACCTGAAGCCGTGGATGCTGGCTGGGATTCAGATCCACAGCTGCCTGGGTCTCAAGCCCGATCTATTTCTTGTGTACAGGTGGTCGTCTGAGGGGACATCTGCTCTGGGGCTCGGAGAATGGTGCAGGGACCTCCAGAATAAATTAACTCCCTTCAGAGCAGCGTAAAAGAGCAGATAGACAAAAATGAGAAACACAGAGAAGAAGCAAAAAAAACACCAAGTTCTCCCCAAATTGAATATCATTCCGGGCCAGAAGAGCAGACATAAAAGATGCTGGAAACATGGCTGCGGACACAAGAGCCACCTGACCAAATGCCAGCTATAAGTTCTTGCTTTCAGCCAACAAGGTCAAAGAATATTCCAGAACTGCTGCTGCTGCTGCTACTGCTGCTGGTGCTGCTGGTGCTGCTGCTGCTGCTGAGCTCCAAAAGCAGAAGTGCTTCTCAGTTCCAAATGTCCCCAGGACAGTCAAGCTGCGAGCTCCGGATTCTCAGTTTTGCTTTTTGTACTGCAAGAAAGTAGAGGAGGACTCTGGTCATGTCACACGATGTCCCCACCTCCCCGCAGGGGTTTCTGGGAGATGGTAGAATCCATGGGGAGGCCCTCCACTGTCACATCTCTGGTTGATGCCCAACCCCTTCTTCTCTAGTGGAAAAGGTAAGGGGCTCAAGGGAGAGAGACTGAGAGGCTGGAGGTGTTGGGACTAAGCATGGCACTCACCACGGTCTGTCCTGAAGCTGAGTCTTGTCTGTGGGAGAAAATTCCCTGGCAGAGGAGGCCCAAAAGAAAACAGGGTTTTCTTTTTCTATGTGTGGGTTGGTTTTTTGTTTGTTTGTTTTTCCTGTCAGGATATGCCCAGTGCCTTGTGCAGTAGGCAAGCATCTCCCACTGAGCTGAATGCCCAATCTGAGTTTTCCAAATGGATTTTAAACCCCACATCTGGAGCATCTGGATTAGGAGGACAAGACTCTGGAGCTCCATTCCAACTCTCTGCATTTATGACCGTCTTCCCCACCTGGAGTCCGGGTGGAGCTCCACTCCAGCACCCCACATCAGAGTTGGTGGAAGTCCTAGACATAGCCTAGTTTTTGTCAACTTCACATAAACTTGAGTCACCTGGGACAAGGCACCTTCAATTTAGGAATTGCTTCCATCTGATTGGCCTGTGTCTGTGTCTGTGGGGCATTTTCATGATAAACAGTTAGTGTGGGAGAACCCAGCCTACTGTAGTAAGAGCCGCTGCTGGGCAGGTGGCCCTGGGGTGTGTAAGATTAGCTGAGAAAGCCATGGGAAGCAGCCAATAAGCAGCCTTCCTCTGTGGTGTCTGCTCCTGTTCCTGCCTCGGCTTCCCTTGGTGATGGACGATATCCTGGAAGCCAAACAAACGCTTTCCTGCCCTAAGGTGGCCTCTGTCAGTGTTTTATCACAGTAAGAGAACTCAGGCAGCTTCCCTCCAAGCCAGACACAGCTATGCCACAGCAGACAGTAGAGCTGTCCTTCCAGGGGAACCTGCGCTCCTGTGCCCATGACAGTCCACTCCGCACTGCTAAGCAGTGATATGGCCTTCCAGGGTTAAGGGTGCTGAAAAAGACTGCAACCGTATAAGATCATTTTTCTACCTGGGTGAACAGGTGGCATGGACAGCCTGGTTCCAACTGTGATGCACAGGCGTCCCCTAGTGGCGAAGAAGGTTACAGCATCCCCGGAGCCAAGCAAGCACTGACCTTGTTCATAATCCAGTCGGCATCTTCAATGGCTCTTTTGATAATCTGCAGGATTCTCTCAGGGTTGTCTTCATCTGAGTGAACCCGGAAACCCTGTAAGGTTCACATAAAAGAACACGACCAAGCGAAATTCACAAGGTTGGTAAGTTCAGCGCACAGTCCCAAGAGGCTGTGAGGTACGGTCACCTCTCAGCCCTGCTGAGTGTTCTAGTCCTGCTCACCTGGAGATGACACGATGAGGCTTGGAGAGCCGACCCTGCTGCTCTTAGATAGCAGCGTTTGAGTGCTAGTCTACTGGACAATACAAATGGTCGTGTAGCCAGCAGGGAGGATAAAGGAGGCCCACAGGTTATCGGGCAGCTCATCAGGGCTAAGGGGAGCTGCCAATCTCTGGTCTGATTTGTTCAGCAAAGGAATCTGCTTTAATCAAAGTGTGCTGAGCAGGGACTGGCCTGCCCCCCTCCCCTGCCACACACACACACACACACACACACACACACACACACACACACACCAGGTGCTGGTGCTGGGGAAGCAACAGAGAAGGGAAGGGAGGCATGGGGGACAACAGAGCCTGGGGAAATTCAACCAGGCTTGTGACCAGTGACCTGCGATCTGGGTTCACTGGCATGGTGAACCTGGGGGGTCTTCCAAGAGAATGAACTCCTCCCTCCCTTTCCTGTGTTCCCAACCCCCACATTCACCTACTCATGCCGGAGCCCACTCTGTGCCACCTCCAGGACGTCTTCTCTGACTACCCCAAAGCTAACTACTCCTTTATTTTTATTTTTTTTTTAATTTTTCGAGACAGGGTTTCTCTATAGTTTTTTTTTTGGTTCCTGTCCTGGAACTAGCTCTTGTAGACCAGGCTGGCCTAGAACTCACAGAGATTCGCCTGCCTCTGTCTCCTGAGTGCTGGGATAAAAGGTGTGCGCCACCACCACCCGGCTAACTACTCCTTTATGTTTCCCACAGCCTTCTATTGCTACCACTGTTTCTCTTTTTAAGATGGGATCTCACTATGTAGCCCTGGCTGGCCTGGAACTCACTAAGTGGACCAGAATGGCCTTGACCTTGGAGAGATCCTTCAGCCTCTGCCTTTTGAGTGCTGGGATTAAAGACATGTGCCACCCCAGCATCTCAGTTGTTTTTCTTTTTTCTTTCCCATATCTGTATGGGGTTTATCATTTAGCTCCTTACATTTTTTTATTATTTTGTTTGTGGTATGGGTGTTTTGCCTTGTATGTCCTGCACCACGTGACTGCAGTACCTGCAGAGGCCAGGAGAGGGCGCTGGATCCCTGGAGCTGCTCCATGGGTGCAAAGACTAGACCCTGAACCCTCTGGAAGAGCTGCCAGTGCTCTTACCCTCTTGGCCATCTCCCAAGCCCCGGAAATGATTTCTTATACGAAGGGAGCGTAAAATGCAAAGGACTGCCGACCAGACTTCCCAGTTAACACTCTCCCGCGCTGGCGTTATCGCCCTTCTCATACAGAAGCATCTAAAGAAGCTGCAGGCACTGTGCCTGTGTACCCTGAAAACCTGAGTTTCCTAACAAAGGGACAGCAACCAAACTCAGAAAATTAGCATCAACGTAGCCATTACCTAATCCACGGCCTGCACTCTAGTTCCCGTCTGCTACCTGTTTCTCTAGCATAGGGCCTCTCATTTACCGATGACATCCCTTCAGTCACTGTTAATCTAGAGCTGCTTGCCTTTCCTGGTGGTCCAGAAAACTTTGTTTTGCTTTTATTTATTGTTATCTAAGATAGGTCTTCTTACTGGGACCTGGGGCTCGCAATCCTCCTGTCTCTACCTCCCCAACGCTGGGATTACAAATGCAGGCCACGGCCCAGCCTTCTCTGGGTGTTGCATGGCAAGCACTTTGTCAACTGCGCTCCCTCGCCCACCTCTACCCAGTCTATTTTCATATCCTCTAAGCTGTCTCCCTCAGGGCTCAGCACAGCGCTGAGATGCCAGCGGACACAGCCACTGTGCCACAGACGGAAGCCAGAGGTCAGCTGCCCACTTTTGCAGTGCCTCTTACAAAATGTCTAGGCCCGTTCCATGGCAGCTGCGCCTCTGCCCCCCAGCAGACACCTCCCCCAGACCTGCTCCCACCTGCCTGACAGCATGCTTGTAGTGTTCCTGGATGCCCTTGGTTGGCAGCTGCCGGCAGCAACGCAACAAGTAACGGTACAGCTGCAGTGGTGTCTGGACAAGCTCTGCCCCCGGCAGTGGGGCCATCTGTGAGTCCCGGCCCTGAAAAACACAGAACACCACTTTCATAGATATCAGGCCAGCTCCATAGAGAACCTGGCCTCCCATCCCAGCCCTCTGTGGCACATTTGCATAGAGGCTAGGCCCCCTAGTGGCCCAATCCCAGAAGCCTACACCCTGGGCTGGGCGAGCCTTAGCATAGAGCAGGCCCACAAGCACCCATGCAAGTGTGGAGGGAGATATGCCACCTCAGCCTACAGTCTTCTAAAGCTCGGGTGGGAGGAGGAAAGAGGAAATGGGCAGAAAACGCCAGGCAGCGATCAAGGCTGCCGACAGCACATATGTCCTAGTTGGGGCATCAGGCAGGAGGGCGGGAAGCCCAAAGGTCCAAAGCTGCTAATCAAAGTATTGACCCAAAGCCAGATGCACTGGCAAGACCAGAGTCTTCAGATTTCCTGGAGCTGGAACGACAGGCAGTGTTGAGCGGCCCAATGAGGATTCTGGAAACTGAACTCGGGTCCCCTGGAAGAATAGTATGATCTCCTAACCATTCTATCACGTGTTCTTCCAAAAGATCCCACGAGTCACTATGAACTTTTTCTTTATATATAAATGTGTGTGTGTATATATATAGTGTGTGTGTGTGTCATAATACCCGACCTGACACCCCATTGTTTCTCCATTCTCTCCCACACTTGGGACCAAGTGAGCTCTGACCCACTGTTCCAGATGCATCCATGTCAGCCCCAGGAATTCTTCCCAGAAGTTCCAGACTACCAAGGACATCAGTTCTCTACAGCTCCACATGGCAGTGCTGCCTTCGCGGACCCCTCTCCCTTTGGGAACCTCTTTCTGACTGTCCTCCTGGGAGGGAGTGACTCGCTGCTGCCATGCAGGTGTCTCTCACTGCTGGGCTGTGCCCAAGCCTCGGCACTGTGCCTGGCCCTCAGCAGGCTTCACACTGGATGAACTGAAACAACCGACCCATTATCTCTTCAGTACAGGCTTGGGGTGGAGGTGCCCCCCCCCCGTGTGCCAGAGGAAGAGTCAAAGGTAGAGACTGGGTGACAGGTGTTAGTTTTAAAGAAGCAAGGGCATAGGAGAACGCCCCAGACTCTAGCTCCGTCGGATACCCTGACAATAAAAGGGAACCATGACAGGCTGAGTTCAGAGGCGACTACGTTCTATTTCAAGCATGTCTTTCTGAAAAATACACGCTCGTCTCCACAGCTAAATTGGCCATTTCCTCACGTCTCTTCCGGCTCGTGCTCTGCCACTGGAGTGGTCTGCCCCCACCATACATTCTCCCTCCTAGTAAATGCCAGTTTTGCAGAACTCAGGGTGCACACGGGTTCAACCTGCCTGGCCAACCAGACTCCGGGATTCACACACACACGGGGATGGGACTGGAAAAAAAAACCCTCCCCAATTAGACTCAAAGTCCTCAAGGGATGCCATCTTGCCTCCTCTTGGCTCCAAGCAGAAGGCAGAGCTGGAACTTGCCAGAACAAAGTCCAAAGACCTCATTTAAGCCTTAGAACGCTTCTCCCATAAAAAAGCCTAGACACCAGAACTCTCAATAGCCGGATCATTCACTCTGATTACCAAACCAGCCTGGAATGGTAGTTCTGTTACCTTTGACCCAAAGAATTCCCATAGATCTTGACTCCCCACTTCTACTTCCAAGGGTTGGGGGTGTGGCTCAGTTGGCAGAGCACCTGTCTAGCATGAAGGAAGTTCGGGGCTCAGTCTCCCACACTACAAACAGAAGGCATGATGGTACAGGTCTCTGGTCCCAGCATCACAGCGATGGAGGCAGCGAAGTCAAAGGTCAAGGTCATCCTCGGCCTCTCCTGGGCTACAGGTCCCGGCGGTAAGGATGTCTAAGCAGGACATGTCTTCAAGTCCTTGCTGTCGCCCTTCTGACTAGCCCTGCTTTGGCCTGGCCAGCAAAGGGGAACCCCATAAGCTGTCATGGGCAGGACCCTGAAGGGCAAGCACAGAGGACACACTGCAGTCCCCACACGACAGGCAGCTTGGCTGGCAGGCTTCCCCAGACTATATAAAGTGCTAATCAAATATTGTAAAATGCTAGTCCAGAACAGATGGTTACCATCTGCATCCTCAAACTTAACATTTGGAAAGAGAACAACTTGGCTTTGCTGCTTTAAAACCCAAGCAATACTTAGTAACCAACCCAGCGAGTTTGGGCGGAAGATTATTTTCAGCTCAATTATGTTACTTAGTCATTCTCAGTAATAACAAGTAGAGAATGCATGTGTGGGTCCACCGAGAGGAGCTGAACTAAAAATGTTTTAATTTAATTTAAAGTGTGGGTTTACTATTATTAAGGGGCCATGAACCTCCCAGCTCCATTAGCACAGCTACAGTCAAGGCCCTCTGACCCTGGAAATGCTCATTTCTCTCACTATGCCCTTCGGACTTGACCTTAGCCTCACAGCCCAGCCCTGGGCCTCGGTTAGAGCTCCATCTCCCAGGCAACCACACTAAGATCGCCACCTGCAACCCAACTACTCCCTTTCTTTCGATCCCTGAGCCCCTGGCTTGAAATCCCATTGAATTCCACCTCTCTGTGCCTCTTAGATTTATAGCCCCTTCTAGTCCAGATCCGTTCTGCCACAGCTGCCACAGTCTGGAGCTGACCTCCTTGCCCTCTCCCCATTTCCCTATCTGTTCTCCACCCAACAGCCTGACTGAACCTGAAACATGGATCTCAGGGTACCCAGTCCCCTCCAAACCCCCAGTATTCATTCCCAGAATTTGTCATTCTGGCAACTTTCCTCAAAATGGGGAACAGCTACTTGAATTTGTTTTAAGCAGCCTATGAATGGACATCTTTTCATCATAATGATGTAATATTTACCTACATAAGTAAGAAAAATTCAGTTTCATAGATATTATGTTTAAAACAGTTTTGGTTTTGCTGTTGTTTTAAGGAATGGGCACAGAAATGTACCAAGCAAATCAAGATGCAGTCAAGATGAGGAGCTGGCAGAAACAGCGAGAGTGGGACAGAGTAGGGATGGTGCCGGCCTGCAGAACACACCCAGGTTTCTTCCCGTGGCCCAGGGAGTCTTGTGTCTGCCTCGCCCATCCCTCAAGCCAAGTTCAGGCAAAATGAGCTCTAGATGGGGCAGTGTGGAGCAGCTGTGTCTAGGGATGGTCTCCACACCGTGACAGGCGACAGAAGGCTTGCCATGAAACAGACGTATTAGTCTTGGTCCTCAGAGAAGCAGAACCTTTAGAAGGTGAGTGTGTGTGTAAGGGGGTGACTGTGTGTATATGTGTGTTCGAGAGTATGTGTGAGTGTGTGCATGGGTGGGGTGTGTGAGTGTGGGGGGGTGTGAGTATGTGGGGTGTCTGTGTATTATTGTGAAGAGCCACCAGGACTGTGGTAACTCTTATAAAGGAAAACATTTAATTTGGTGACTTATAGTTTCAGAGGTTTAGTCCATTATCATCATGGCAGGACATGGAGCTGGAGAAGGAACTGAGAGTGGAGAAGGAGCTACATCTTGATGGCACAGTCAACAGGAAGTGAACTGTCTCACTAAGTGTAGCTTGGGCATAGGAGACCTCAAAGCCCACCCCCACAGTGACAAACTTCCTCTAACAAGGCCACACCTGTTCCAACAAGGCCACACCTCCTAATAGTGTCACTCCCTATAAGCTTATAGGGGCCAATTACATTCAAACTACCACACTGAGTGAGTATATGCGTGTATTACAAGGAATGTGTCATCTAATTCTGGAAGCTGGCAAGCCCCAAATCTGCAAAGCTTGTTGACTCTAACCCTAAGAGGGAAAGTTGCCAAGAAACCAGGAAGAGTCTGTCCCAGTTCAAATGACTCCAAGAGAAGAGAATTCTTTCCTATGTTGGAAAGGCTCAGGCTACTCAATCTAGGACAGTTAACTTGTAAACATCTAACGCCCTCCAGATAGTACAGACATAGCAGCCACTGAGGCCAAGGACCACCCAGGACCACTGAACTGTGCGGCAGGGAACTCCACATCTTCTGACCTACATCTCTAACCATAAGACTGCCACAGGCACAGGTAGAGAACAGGTAGAAAGAACGTCGCTTCAACTGTAAACAAATCCTTTTGGTTTCCTAAATTCTTTTACAATATCATATAGTGGTCAGGCCTTTAGGGGACTAAATGAGACTGGCGATGTGGCTCACCAGGATGACTGGAGTTCACAGAGCTCCACCTCCCTCTGCCTCCTGAGCACTGGGATTTAAAGGTGTGAGCCACCAAGCCAAGCCTAAACACGTGTTTTTAAAAAGACTGAATGGGGCCCATTTACATGAATGAAGACAGTCGGCTTGACTCAGTCTACTAATTTAAACCTAAAAACACTCTCCCGGAGACACCCAGAATAACACTTGCATCCGTTCAAGCTGACACACAATGAGAGCTCTCCTAGTAGACGTCCACAACCACTTGTTGACAATCCTCTTCCCTCAGCCTGCAATGCCCCTGTGGCATCCGACCGCTGGCCTCAGGCTTCCACACTCAGCTCTGGGTCCAGCACCTCCTGGAGGCCCTCACGAACACAGAACACCCCACACCGCCATGCACCATGCTCAGGTCACCTGTGGTGATCATCCCGCTTCGCGCTAGCCCTAACTTCCAGCACCTGTGTACAAGGACAGCCCTGCCAAGCATTCTCCAAGGGAGGTTCGTGTTTTATCAACCTCCCACCAAAACCTTCCGCAGCTGTGCACCAGCTGACACTGTGGCGCTGGTACGAGACTCTGCCAGCGTTATAAGGATTGCTTGATACTGTGGTTGTGCAGTTCGCGCTTATCCGCAGATGATGCAGGTGCAAGCATTAAGAAGAAATACGTTACAGGCTTTGCAGCCATTCCAAACAGTTCAACAAAAGCCAGTCCACAGAGAGAAGGGGCAGACTAAGAAGAGACACAAATGTTAAGAGCATTTCTACTCGAGGTCTGAGCTCTGTTCTGATCCAGCGAGTCCACCACCCACATCTAACTCTCGAGGTCCC